TTTTTTAGAGATTATCTTCAATTTAATATAATATTTTGAGATCTTACAAGTATTATTGATTAAGATTACTATATTTGATAGTATATTGGGTGTACCCAATATTGTCAGTACCCACAGTAGATATGGACGTGAACGACGCATGACAAAATTCTTACGAGGTGTGCCAAAGAAACGTCTGACTGCCTTTTAATTAGAAGGCTTTATTAACAATCTGTCGCGCGGAATTGTATTTAATTCTACATTACATCAATACTTAGCAACGGTGGGTTGTTCTTAGTGTGATCGCTGAATGCAGTCATTATATAAAGTAACAAACTAGGGGTGATTTCGAAGTGGTTGTTGAGCCACATCCTCTTTGGGTCGCTCTAAATACATGTGCATGGAACTGCAATTCGCTGAAATGCATATAAGGTAGGTAATTAGGAAAATAATGCGATATCACGGGCCGAATTTCCCTATTGCTAACACGCCCAAAATGCGTTGTCCGATATGTGAGAAAACTCGCGAGTTAGAATAATTATAAGCACTTTGCGATATTTTCTCGCGAGTTGGAATTTATAGCATTACACCAAAACTGGCCGCGGAGATGGCTGTCGTTGCTGCTCGCCAAGAAAACGAAAACGCCCCACAATGTGCCAAGGCAATACTGGATTGACACTGATCTTATGTGTTCAAGTGTTTCAAACCGGCGATATTGCTTCTTACCATATCGACACATTCATTGGTAATTAACTGGATTGCCTGCGTGGTTAGCCCTTCCAGATACGTCCGTAGGGCCTAGCTCATTACTAGATAAGTGTTCAGGACTACTTACGGCTACACAGTACCTGGCAGATTGACAATGCGTGGCCTCATTGAATTTTGATCGCCCACTGTGGATTCTTCTTTATAAAATTATCTCACAATAGATCCTCACGAAGATATTTGCTTCGTGCCGTGTTCAATCACAATATAAGCAGTTGTTAAGGTTTTATCTACAAATTAGATTGATCCATTTTCAAGCTTACATTTCATTATGTGCCAAATATCATTAACTGGTATATGTTTTTTCTTAAACAGCTTTCCTGTGCTATCATTTTTTGATGGCCATCTAGCGGCTGGCATTCATAATTATGCGGTTTCTTGAGCAACCCCGGCAGTTAGATGCGAGGATATGATCATGCACTACTACCGCTGGCCACTTAGGATATGACTACTAGGCACCTTAAAAAAAAAACAACCGCCCTCAACCCTAACCCAACCCACCCGCCCGCACCATAACCTAAACCCGTATACCTAACCTAACCGCTAACCCTAACCACCTAAAACCCTATACCTAACCTAAAACCCTAACCTAACCCTAAAAAAAAAAAATATTAAATTAAATTTACAGTGCCTTAGTAGTCATATCATTGATCGCATACCTACCACTGATCGGTTGCCTTTTCCTGCATTCTCTTGCATTTCGCCTGTCGAGACCTGTACCCATAATGCCTTTGCACGGTTTGCTCGACGATGACACACATGACTGTAAGCATAGCTTTTATGTGATATATTATTGGAACGATACATTAATGAACAAATTAACATAATGAGACAACAATTAATACCAAGTTTCATTTTAACCTAACAAACAAAAATGTGCCGTCAATATTCCTGATTCCTTGTCGATGTCGAGGTGACAGTTTTCTCTCAAGAATCCATCATGTCTCCCAACATTTTTTGCATGATGCCGCCACGACGTCCAAAGTCAGATCAATGCGACGTTACTCGCTCTCTCACAAACGCACAATATCA